TGGCTCCCTGCGGCCAGAGTCTGCCCCGTGCATTCATGCACAAACCTGGAAATGCCAGGACACGGCTGCTCCCAGAGGCAGCCCTGATGCAGGCAGCTCACTTGCCCCTGGGGTGCATGTTCTACACGATCTCCTGGTGTCCCCCGTGGGATTAAGCTCCAGTCACCCACAGTGGGGACTTGCTGGACATTTTGTAGCCTCCTTCACCCCCAGCCTTCCCATTTCCTTACAAGTGTTTCCTGGGATCACCTCCCAAATAAAATACTTGGAATGGAATCCTTTTCTCAGGAACCCACCCTGAGACAGCATCCCTTGCTAGAGGCGATGCATGGAGACTGCTGAGCTGACGGATGGGGGAAGAGACAAGGGTAGGAGGAAGACAGGGTGGGGGAGGAACCGGTAGTTAATAGTTCAAAATATTATGGCGTATAATTGAAAAGTGAAATAAATGGAGTGCTTATTCTGTGCTGGGGACAGCACTTGGTGTTTTCACATAACTTATTTCATCTGATCCTCCTGGTGGCTCTGCCCCAATACCATTGTTCTTAGAGATGAAGAAACAGTCTCAGGGCCACCCACTAGCAAGATGGTTAAGCAGGGACAAGAATTCAGGCCTACTGGTCTCCTAGGGAGATTCCTGAAATTCTTAACTAGTAGAAAGGTTGCAGCGTCTTGAGGTAAGTCTTTATCTTCCATTACTATTAGCTCTTATCCATTCTAGTAGCCACCTATTAATCTCAAAAGATTCCTGCCTTTACATCTTTCCTTAAAAAATTAGAACGTCTCAGATTGTTTTGAAGCCAGGGGCTCTTGCGGATGGTGTGGTGTGGTGAGATTCATAATGAGACCAGAGGTTTAGGAGAGGGACAGAGAGTGGGTGCACTGGTCTTCGGGGTCCTCCCTTCTGCTCAGTGGTGTGCTGGTACATGTTGAGACTGACTTTCAGGATGAAAAAAAAAAAAAAGGACTGACTTGTAGCATTTGCAGATTTTTGTGGTGTCAGTGCTTCCACTGTGGCCAGTTCAAGCTGTGAACATGATGCTACTGACGCTGAGGTTGGGAAGAGCCAGAGGTGTGACGTTCCACACTGCCAGGGAGCATTCCCACCACACCAGCACATTCCACATAAATGGCCCCAAGATCCCTGAGAATGGAAGATGCCATAGAATCCTTAGCAGGTGGTGAGCTCTGAGTATGTAGGAGCTGGTATGAACTGGATGTTTCTTCCCTCCAGCTCCAATTCTATATGTGAAATCCTCACTTCCCATGTGATGGTATTAGGAGGTGGGGCCTTTGGGAGGTGGTCAGGTCCTGACATGGAGCCCTCATGAGTGGAACAAGTGCCTTATAAAGGGGACCCCAGAGAGCTCTACTGGCCTTTCCATGATGTGAGGGGGCAGCAAGAAGATGGCCATCTAGGAACCAGGATGCAGGCCCTTGCCAGGCACTGAACCTGTCTTGGACTTAGACTTGATCTTGGACTTCCTGTCTCCAGAGCTATGTGAAATAAATATTTGTCATTTAAGCCACCCAATCTAGGGCATTTTTGTTATAGCAGCCCAGAGTACTTTTAAAAACTTGAGTACCTTTGCTCAATGAAGACAATACTTTAAAAAAAAATTGAGACAGTACCTGTTTACAATTGAGGTAAAATTCATATAACATCAAATTCACCATTTTAACTATTTGAAAGTGTGCAATTCTATGGCATTTAGTACATTCATAGTTTTACGAACTATCACCTCTGTCTGGTTCCAGAACATTTTCATCACCCCAAAAGGAAACATCATACCCAGTTAAAGCCTCATTTCCCATTCTCCCCCTCCTCTGGCAACCACTGTAATTTGTTTTCTGTTTCCATGAGTTTGTCTATTCCAGGTTCTTCAGACAAATGCAAAGAAGAAATGCTTCTTTATATGAAGAATTACATATTCTTCATATAAAACACGTGATCTTTTGTGTCGGGCGTCTTTCATGTAGCATGACGTTTTCAAGGTGCATCCATGTTTTAGCATGTGCGAGCACTTCGTTGCTTTTTATGGCTGATTACGATTCTATGGTACTGTATATTGCCGTTTGTCCACTCATCAGCTGACCGACATTTCTGTCATTTCTCTCTTTTGGCTATTTTGAATAAAGCTACTATGAACGTGCATGTACAAGTTTTTGTCTGAATACCTGTTTTCAATTCTTTGGGATATATACCTAGGAGTAGAGTTGCTGGATCATATGGTAATACATGTTTAACTTTTTGAGGAACTACTTAATTGTTTTTAAAGTGGCTGCATCATTTTACATCCCCACCAGTCGTGTTTATGGGTTCTAAATTCTCCACATCCTCACTAATACTTGTTATTTTATTGCTTATTAGTTTATTATTATTATTTACTATAGCCATGGTTGGAGTCCTATCTCATTGTGGTTTTGATTTACATTTCCCTAATGGTTGATGGTATGAAGCATCTTTTTATATGCTTTTTGGGCATTTGGAGAAAAAAATTCTATTCAAGTTCTCTGCTCATTTTTAAATTGAGTTGTTACAAAAATTAGCTGGGTGTGGTGGTGCATGCCTATAGTCCCAGCTACTCAGGCGGCTGAGGCATGAGAATCACTTGAACATGGGAGGCGGAAGTTGCAGTGAGCTGAGATAGCGCCACTATATTCCAGCCTGGGTGACAGAGCGAGACTCTGTCTCAAAAAAATTAATTAATTAATTAATTAATTAATTGGGTTGTCTTTTGTTGTTGCATTGTAAGAGTTTTTTATATATTCTGGGTATATCATGCATATGATTTGCAAATATTTTCTCCCATTCTGTGGATTGTTTTTTCACTTTCTTGAAAGTGTCCTTTGATGAACCAAAGTTTTAGATTTTGAAGTCAAATTTATTTTTCTTTCCTGCATGTGCTTTGGGTGTTATATTTTAAAATCCATTGCAGCCAGATGTGGTGGCTCACGCCTGTAACCCCAGCGCTTTGGGAGACTGAGGCAGATGGATCACTTGAGGTCAGGAGTTCAAGACCAGCCTGGTCAACCTGGTGAAACCCAGTCTCTATGAAAAATACAAAAATTAGCTGGGTGTGTTGGCGCACACCTGTAATCCCACCTACTCGGGAGGCTGAGGCAGGAGAATAGCTTGAATCCGGGAGGCAGACGTTGCAGTGAGCCGAGATTGTGCCACTGCACTCCAGCCTGGACAACAGAGTAGGTCTCCATCTCAAAAAAAAAAAAAAAAAAAAAAAAGAAAAAAAAGAAAAAAACAATCCATTGCTAAATTCAAAAAAGTCATGAAGTTTTAATACTTTGTCTTCTAAGAGTTTTATGATTTTAGCGCTTACATTTAGGTCTGTAATCAATTTTGAATTATCCAGTTGTCATTTATTTGTTTTTAACATTATTTAATTGTAAGTTTATATAATGTATCTTCTAATTATGGCTGTGTTTCACAACTGGCTTGCATAATTTTTGAAAATTTAACAATCAGCTCTCGAGTCAGTGTGAGTGGTATGAGCCAGTTCAATGTGTCACTACTTCTATGTTTTTTATTATTTTTAAATTTTTATTTATATATTTTTTGAGACACAGTTTCACTCCATCACCCAGGCTGGAGTGCAGTGGTGCGATCTTGGCTCACTGCAACCTCCACCTCCCGGGTTGAAGCAATTCTCCTGCCTCAGCCTCCGTGAGTAGCTGGGATTACAGGCTCCTGCCACCATGCCCTGCTAATTTTTGTATTTTTAGTAGAGATGGGGTTTCACCGTGTTGGCCAGGCTGGTCTTGAACTCCTGACCTCAGGTGATCCGCCTGCCTCAGCCTCCCAAAGTGCTGGGATGACAGCCGTGAGCCACCATGTCCGGTCGTGCTAGTACTTCTACCACACCCTGCTTAGAACACCTTGCTGCTAACGGCTGGAATGTGGTTTTCTCGGGGAACGGAGCTGGGGATGGGTGAAGTGTGCTTATGGAGTTCCTTGGCAATGGGTATCTGTGGAAAAAGGATCTGAGGACCCCTGATTCTCTAGTCATGGGCCTGTCCAGAATTTCCTTCTTGCGTCTGGCTTTTCCTCTGTGATGTGAACAGCATAGCTGGACCTCTCTTGCTCTCTCCCCTAGCATTTGCCAAGCTACTCCTCCTGGCTTAGAGGGAACCAGTTTTGTCCTAACTCAATGTGGAGGGGCTTTGGAAGCCCCACGTTTGAGCAGAGATCTAAGTCTTGTCTTGAGGCTGAGGAAGTGCTCCTTTTCCTGGTGGTATCACCAGATCAAATACAGGATGCCCAGCCACATTTGAATTTCAGATAAGCAGCACTCAGTGTTTCAGTATAAGCATGGCACATGTGAGATTTGGGACACACTTATACCAAAAGTAATTCTCATGCAATATTTGGGACATACTCCCACTAAAGAGCTATGCATTGTGTATCAAATTGAACTGGGAGTCTTGGAGTTTTGTTTGCTAAATCTGGCAAGCCTTTCCTTGGGTCAATTTTTTTTCTTACTGTCTTCATCGTGCAGCGGAGACTCAGAACCTCAGAGTGGGAAGGCCCTGATTCCCTGTCCATTTTGCAGATCTGGAAACAGTCCCAGAGAAGAAAAGGGATTTGTGCAAATGCATGGAATCACTGTGAACTCCGAGGACCTTGACAAGCTGCATGACTTTTTCGTGAAGTCAGCACATTTTCTGAGTCTCTGCATGTGGCACTGTGCTGGTGCCAGGGAATGATGGTGGCAAACCTGCCATGGACCTGTGTAGATGGCATGTTAAATAAGAGGCAGGATTCAGACAGATCTGGGTCCAAATCCCGCTTTGCGCGTGTCAGCTTGCATGACAAGTTCTTTCTGCTCTCAGAGCCTCAGCTTTCCCTTTCGGATGAGAGTACATTCGTTGGGCGATCGTCAGGCTTCCGTTGGGTGGTGAAGTGCTTGGTGCGGGGTAGGGAAGATTTACTGCATGAGGAGAGAGGAGAGGTGCCCATGGTAAAGTCTGGTTGTTGTCTGCAGGTTCTCCAGCATCGTGGGCCGTCCAGATGATGTGGAATGGAGGTTCCGGAACCCACCTGCCCTGCCCCTCCTCCGAGGGACCAGCCAGCTCCCACTCCTGGCCCTCCAGGGGCCCCAGGTGGCCAGGCCTCACCCCACCTGACCCTGGGCCCCGTCCTTCTGCCGCCAGAGCAGGGCCTGGCCCCCACTGTGTTCCTGAAGGCCCTGCCCATCCCACTGTACCACACGGTGCCTCCCGGGGGCCTCCAGCCACGCGCCCCGCTAGTGACGGGCAGCCTGGATGGGGGCAACGTGCCCTTCATACTTAGCCCTGTGCTGCAGCCTGAAGGGCCTGGCCCCACCCAGGTGGGGAAGCCGGCGGCCCCTACGCTGACGGTGAACATCGTGGGCACTCTGCCTGTCCTGTCGCCAGGCCTGGGCCCCACGCTGGGCAGCCCAGGCAAGGTGCGGAATGCTGGCAAGTACCTGTGTCCACACTGTGGTCGCGACTGCCTGAAGCCCAGTGTTCTGGAGAAGCACATCCGATCCCACACGGGCGAGAGGCCCTTCCCGTGCGCCACCTGTGGAATCGCCTTTAAGACCCAGAGCAATCTCTACAAGCACAGGCGGACGCAGACGCACCTCAACAACTCCCGGCTGTCCTCGGAGTCCGAGGGGGGTGGGGGCGGCCTCCTGGAGGAAGGAGACAAGGCCGGAGAGCCTCCCAGAACAGACGGCAGGGGTGAGAGCCGGAGTCAGGAGATGCACGAAGGGGCCTCGGAGAGACCCCTTTCTCCAGGTGCCCACGTGCCCCTAGTTGCCAAGAACCTGGATATGAAGACCGAAGCTGCTCCCTGTCCAGGGTCCGCATTTGCCGACAGAGAGGCTCCTTGGGACTCTGCCCCCACAGCCTCACCTGGGCTCCCCGCAGCCAGCACACAGCCCTGGCGCAAGTTGCCGGAGCAGAAGTCCCCGACCATCGGGAAGCCGTGCGCCCTGCAGCGGCAGCAGGCGACAGCAGCTGAGAAGCCCTGGGATGCCAAGGCCCCCGAGGGCCGGCTGCGGAAGTGTGAGAGCACCGACTCGGGGTACCTGTCACGCTCAGACAGCGCGGAGCAGCCGCCCGCGCCCTGCAGCCCCCTGCACAGCCTCTCAGAGCACAGCGCCGAGTCCGAGGGGGAGGGCGGCCCGGGCCCGGGACCAGGGGGCGCGGAGGCCGAGCCCGAGGCACGAGGAGCCGGCCTGGAGCTGGAGAAGAAGCGGCTGGAGGAGCGCATCGCCCGGCTCATCTCCCACAACCAGGCGGTGGTGGACGATGCCCAGCTGGACAACGTGCGGCCCCGGAAGACCGGGCTGTCCAAACAGGGCAGCATCGACCTGCCCACGCCCTATACCTACAAGGACTCCTTCCACTTTGACATTCGCGCTCTGGAGCCGGGCCGTAGGAGGGCCCTGGGCCCCGCGCGCTCCACCTGGACGCCCCCAGACAAGTCTCGGCCCCTGTTCTTCCACTCCGTCCCCACTCAGCTCTCCACCACTGTGGAATGTGTCCCCGTCACCAGGAGCAACTCGCTGCCCTTCGTCGAGGGCTACAGGACATGGCTGGAGCCTCGGGACCCCTGGCCCAGGACGCAGAAGCCTCTGAGCCCCAGGCCCGGCCCAGCCCGCCTTGGCTGCCGCTCGGGACTGAGCTCGACTGACCTTCCTGGTGGGCATCCCCGGGCCCTGGTCAGACAGGCCGCGGTGGAGGACCTGCCAGGCATCCCCACTGGCGATGCCCCGGTGCCCACAGAGGACACAGATGTAAAGAGAATTGCTGCGCGGGAGGCCGTAGCCGGCAAGGGCAGAGCAGGCGGCAGGAAGTGTGGCCAGAGGAGGCTGAAGATGTTCTCTCAGGAGAAGTGGCAGGTGTACGGGGATGAGACATTCAAAAGGATCTACCAGAAAATGAAAGCTAGTCCCCATGGAGGCAAGACAACCAGGGAGGTGGGAGTGGGCAGTGGGACAGAACTGGGCCTTCCTCTGCAGAAAGAGGCAGCAGGGAGCTCAGGCACAGTCCCCACCCAAGACAGGAGGACCCCTGTCCATGAGGACACATCCACAGGGGCAACGCCAGGGCCTTGGGGAAATCAGCCAGCCCCGGAGGCCTCCTTGGTGACTGAGCCCACTAAGCATGGGGAGACGGTGGCCAGGACAGGAGACAGGAACCGACCCAGGGTGGAAGAGGCTGTGTCATCCCCTGCACTGGGCGGCAGAGACAGTCCCTGTTCAGGCAGTCGGAGCCCCCTAGTCTCTCCAAATGAGAGGCTGGAAGTGGGGTGGCAGCTGACCCCAGCACCTGGCCCACTCAAAGGGGGTGACCTAGAGGCCCCCAGGCCAGTTTTGCCAGACCCCAAGCTGGAAGGAGGCGCCCGAGGTGTGGGGGATGTTCAGGAGACCTGCCCGTGGGCCCAGACTGTCCTGAGATGGCCCAGCAGTGGCTCTGGGGAAGATAAGCTCCCCTCGGAGAGGAAGAAGCTGAAAGTGGAGGACCTGCACAGCTGGGAGCAACCAGAGCCTGTGGGCGCAGAGACCCCGGGTAGGCCCGTGCAGGCTGCCTCTTTGTCATCCCAGAAGCAGGACGCCGATCCCGGGGAGGTGCCAGGGGGATCGAAGGAGAGTGCCAGGCAGGGGGGCGAGCTTCTGGAGTCCTCTGGAGCCTCCTTGGCTGCTGATTCTGTTGCCCTGAAGAGGGTGGGGCCAAGGGACAAGGCTCCCCCACTGCATCCTGCAGTCCCAGCCCCTGGGGAGCACCCCCCACTGGCCACCCCACCTCAGGCTCCCAGAGTCCTCTCTGCCCTGGCAGACAATGCCTTTTCCCCGAAGTACCTCCTCAGGTTACCTCAGGCAGAGACCCCTTCACCACTGCCCATTCCCCGGGGACCCAGGCACAGCCAGGACTCTCTCTGCAGCAGTGGGCGGCCTGAGGAACAGGCATCATTTGTTGGGTCAGGACTGGGGACCCCTCTTTCTCCCAGCCTAGCCTCAGGCCCCTCCCCAGGTGAGGCGGACAGCATCCTGGAGGACCTCAGCTCTTCCAGGCCACGGGATGGGAGAAAAGGGGCACAGTTGAGGGGGGACAAGGGGGACAGGATGGCCACTAGCAGGCCAGCAGCCAGAGAGTCACCTATCTCAGCACCCGGGGCTCCCAGGGAGGCCACCTCCTCCCCGCCCACTCCAATGTGTGAGGCACACTTAGTTCAGGACATGGAGGGTGACAGCCACCGTATCCATCGCCTCTGCATGGGCAGCACTTTGGCAAGGGCCAGGCCCTCTGGGGATGTCCCAAATCCCTGGGTACCCAACTGGGAGCTGGGGGAGCCTCCTGAGAATGCCCCAGAAGATCCTTCTTCAGGGCCCCTGGTGGGCCCTGACCCGTGTTCCCGCCTCCAGCCTGGCTCCTTCCTCACTGCCCTCACTCGGCCTCAGGGTGTGTCCCCAGGCTGGCCAGAGCTGGCCCTGTCTTCCTACTCAGGGACGTCCGGGAGCCACAGCCCCCACAGCCCCCACAGCCCCCACAACCCCTTTCCCTCCTTGAAGGCTGAGCCGAGGCTAACGTGGTGTTGCCTGAGCCGCAGCGTCCCTCTGCCCGCGGAGCAGAAGGCAAGGGCGGCGTCTGTGTACTTGGCGGCGCACTTTCCCAGTAGCAGCCTCCGAGATGAGGGTCCCAGTGGCCCTCCTGGGAGCAGTGGAGGATGGACCTGGACAAGCCCTGGAGAGGGAGGGCTGGCGCAGATGTCCAAGGTAAAGCTGGGTTTTGCCCCAGGGCCCAGGGTTGAGAGAGTGTGTCGTGACCCCGCAGGACCTCTCGCGTGGGAGGGAAGTCTGAAGCCGTCCCACGTAGCATCTGCTGCTCACTGCTCCCTTGTTCCTGAGGGAGGCTGGGGATACCACAGAGATGGCAGGAAGGAATAAAGGCCCAAATGCGAACCTTAACAGAGTTGTGGAAAACATAAATTCCAAAGGAAAGAATGACTATACTCGAGACATTAGGTGAGATAGTCTTCATAACCAAATGTAAAAAATTGAACTGAGCTTCCTGGTAACAGAAGCAAAAAGTAAAATGAAACACTCCAGCAGAGAGGTGAGCTCTCTGGATCATTCTAAGAGTATAAACCAGAGACTCCCAATAATTGAGAGAGTCATTATACTGGGGATTCTGGAGAAGGAATGACTGTTGATTGGATTCAGACCTCCCTCTCAGGTTCCCGGGAGCAGAGAGAAAAGGGGGAATGTGGTGGATGCTCACAGCTGTTCTCACTTGGTGATGAGCTGATAATGCCGAGCTCCAGCTTGAGAGGGAGTTCACACACCTGGTTGTGATGACTGAGAGCTTAGTCCTGCTCTGGGGTGGCTTGGGCCACGGCCACTGAGGAAGGTGCTGGAGGCTCAGCTGTAATTTAACCCTTGTGGACAGTGACAAAGGCCTGGAGACCAGAGTCTTGCAGGCTGTACAGCTTTCCCGAGGTGGAACCCAAAGTTGTGGGGAGTGCTGTTTTCATCTTGAGAGTAGTGGGTCAATCAGGAGGGCCCCAGAGGTGCAGGGGCTCCCGGGGAGGTGGATTTAGGGGAGAGTAAAGGGGCTGGTCACCGTGTTTCTTTGGCCTCCAGTGAACACCGATGGCATAGGCTTTCCTCTGTGGATTGAGCCCAGGCAGGGTTTCAGGAGGTTCTGTCCAGGAACGCTCTGCCCTTGCCTGGTTGAACTTTGCAGGGGCTCAGGCCATTTAGTGATGCAGTATCTCCGCTTTGATTTCTATAGACAGGCATCCTGTCTGCAGAGTGAGAACCCTTTGGAGTTTTCCTCATCATGAGGACTTTGAGTAACGTGATGCCAACATGCTTGGTGTTTTCAGTTCTCCTACCCAACAGTCCCAGGGGTGATGTCCCAGCACCAGGTGTCTGAGCCAGAATGGAAGAAAGGCCTGCCTCGGAGGGCAAAGATGTCTCATGGGAACAGCAAGCAGAGAAAACTGAGGCTCAACCCTAAAAGGTAGGGTGAGTGGCCACCTCTGTCATTTCCGCAAAACCCCAAGAAGAATTTACTATGGGATTTGAAAGGTATCCGTGTGCTCCAGAGAAAGAGTTCCTGTTTGCTAGGGTTTAGAGTTTCATGATTAAAGGACTGAATTTGTTTCCCTGTTAGTCCCCCACCCCTTACAACTCACCGCCTGTGTATTTTTCGATGGCACCTTTCTAAGGCCAGGAATCCAGCAAATCTTTGAAATAACTGGGTGGAAAACACATCCATTCAACTTAAGTCCGGAAGAGAGAGCTTGTTAATTATTTACAGCTTTTATTGCTTTTTTAATTATGCAAGCAATGAAAGTCTTTTGCAGAAAAATTAGACAATACAGATGAGCAAAGAGAAGACAATAAAACATCCTAGTAATCTCGCCACGCAGAGATAATCACCGTGAGCATCCAGGAGTGTGCCCTTCCAGGCTTTTCTTTGCAGTATGCATATGCAAATGTCCACCCCCAACAAACGGGCGGCCATGAGGATTTTCCTGCCACTCTTTCATTGTGTCTTTCTTGGATTGTCTTTCTCCTTTGCTCAGAACCCTTCAGGCTGCCCATTGCATACAAGCTAAAAAGCAAATTCTCTAACCCCTGTCCTCTTTCTGCCATCATTTTCCCTGTGATCTCCTTCTCTCCTGCTCGCCCTCCGCCCTCACCGCATTCTCTAATCCACATTCTAATCCCAGATCCCTGATGCATTTATACTCCACACCTCAACTGTCAACATTCTCCCTCTAGACCGTCAGTCCTTTTTTCCCCTTTCTGTTTCTTTTTTGAAACCGAGTTTCACTCTGTCGCCCAGGCTAGAGTGCAGTGGCACAATCTCGGCTCACTGTAATCTCTGCCTCAGGGGTTCAAGCGATTTGCCTGCTCAGCCTCCTGAGTAGCTGGGGTTACAGGCATGGGCCACCATGCCCAGCATTTTTTTTTTTTTTTTTTTTTTTTGGTATTTTTAGTAGAGACGGGGTTTTGCCATGTTGCCCAGGCTGGTCTCGAACTCCTGGCCTCAAGCAATCCTCTTGCCTTGGCCTCCCAAAGTGCTGGGATTACAGGTATGAGCTACTGCACATAGCCTGTCAGTAATTTCTCCAAAACCTGGACATTCTTTAAGGGGCAATCCAAATTCCCAACTCTCCCCTGTAGCTGCTCAGTGGCTGGAGATGACCTCTTCTCTTCTGGCTCCCTCTTCCGCCTCTATCAATGGTCTTCCGGGACCATGTGTCCAGAGCTAACATTATGGGGCACGTGCTGTGTGCCAGGCTTTCCCTAATTGCTTTCTGGTGTGCGTCGTTTCAGGCGATCCCACAAAGTACTGCCCACGATGTGGATGGTATTATTATCCTATTTTTCTCATGAGGAAATGGAGACACAGAGAGCTTAGATAACCTCCCCAAGGACCCAGATTTGAACCAGCCAGTCTCCTTCCATAGCCTGTGTGCTAACTAGTGGCTTGTCTTGGTGCACCCCAGCCTGTCCTGGGCATGCACGTGGCCTGGCATTTTCTAGATTTTTCTTGCAGTGTCTGAGATTCTGCATTTCTGACACGGCCAGGTCATGGTGCTGGCGTGGCTCCGAGAGCAGGCTTGGAGGAGTGGGGCTTTCCTTTCTAGCGTCCCTCCTTGCTCATGGATCACTCAGGGTCCTGAGACAGAAGCCTGACTCAAGGTAGTCTGAACAAAAGAAGGTCTGCCTGCCTGTGTAATGGGGCCTCCAAGCCTTATCATCAGCCCTGGCCCAAACTTGGTGCTGTGGGAAGGACAGTCTTCCAAAGGAAAATTCGAGTCTGCTCTTGGAGGAAAGGGGAATGCATGCCATCCAGGTGGAGGAGCTGCATGCGGGGCTCTGGGAACCAAGGGACATTGGCTCGTGGTTGTTGTTCCTCCTCAGTATCTCACCAATAAGGAGGAAGTGCTCAACTACATCTGACTGACAGCTGACGAGCCTGAAGCCTCCAGGCATCGTTGGAAAGATGTGGGGAGAGGGGAGAGGATGGGTTGCCTCATTAACAGTTCCCACTTTCCCAAGACTTCAGCTTGACTAATTTGAAAATATTTACCATGTACCTGTTGTGCGCCTGGTGCCCATACCTGGAGGTGGCCGAGAAAACTTTCTTAATCCAGGCTGAGGGTCCCAGACTAGAGCCCAGGAGGCGTGGAGATATCACTCCACGACACCTTGCAAACCCACTAGCAGCTCTTGGGCCAAACACAGTGCATGTAAGACCCTTGTTAGGCCAGTGCTCTAAAACTTTTGGCATTTAGCAGCCACATAATTAGATGTAAAGATTTCTCATAAAAATCTGGATTTCTAACTTTTCTTGAAATATGGGAAGCTTTGAAGACACTGGGCCTGCCTCCTTACATAGCACCAGCCAGCTGGAGATGAGCAGTGGCCACACCTTGTGGGTAAGAGCTGTGCTCCTGGCCGGGCATGGTGGCTCAAGCCTGTAATCCCAGCACTTTGGGAGGCCGAGACGGGCGGATCACGAGGTCAGGAGATCAAGACCACCCTGGCTAACACGGTGAAACCTCGTCTCTACTAAAAAAAAATACAAAAAACTAGCTGGGCGAGGTGGCGGGCACCTGTAGTCCCAGCTACTTGGGAGGCTGAAGCAGGAGAATGACGTAAACCCGGGAGGCAGAGCTTGCAGTGAGCTGAGATCCAGCCACTGCACTCCAGCCTGGATGGCAGAGTGAGACTCTGTCTCAACAAAAAAACAAACAAACAAACAAACAAAAACAAAAAAAAAAGAGCTATGCTCTCCTCTGCGCTCTGTAGCTCACCTCTCCTTAATGTCTTACCCTCGGCCACCCTCTCTCAGTTATGCTATCTGCCTGGCCCCCATAGGATTTGAGTTCGCAAATTTTGGCCTTGTGGGACTAGACAGCCTCTCCACTCAACAAATCACAACAAGAGCCCATGGATGGGCACAGAACAGGGGCAGGGGAGTCTGAACAAGGACTTGGAGCTCTAACCGAGAGCTCCTGACTGGGTCAAATGAGAAGGAAGCTGTTGAGCTTTTTATATCCACAAACATTTATTGGTTGATCGTGGTTTGTTTATCATGGATCCTTTTGTTGGCTCATGACTGTCTTTTGAGTTAATTTCAGCTTCAAGGCCTTTGCACCTGCTAGTCCCTCTACCTCTACCTGCACATTCCTCCTCTTGCTCCTCACATGGCTGGCTCCCCTGTCTCAGAAAAAGAATCAGCACCACGAGGGCATGGAGATCTAGGCATGGACATCTTTGAGGGGAGGTATTACTCTGCCTACCACGCTGTTTATCCAACCACCCACACACCTATGTTTGTAGATATTTATCCATCCATCTGCCTACCCACCCACCCATCCACTTACATATCTACCTCTCTACCTCTCTGTCTATCTTCGGTCTATCTATCATCTAACCCTTGTGTTCTCTCCTCAAGAAGGAAGCCTAGTACTTGATTCATTTGCCCACTTTCAGTTGTTTTAATGTTCTACAGAAAATGAAATACTGTAGCAGAGGTTGCTCTATAGTCCTTAGCTCACAGAGAATGATAAAGTTCTCTTCTAAGTAAAACATTACCTTAAATATTATATAACAATACATAGAAAAGAAAAATTTAAAAGATGATTATGTTGTTTTATGTATTTGGCACAAATCGAATCAATCTGTGTTTTCATATTTTGCAAATCACCAATAATATATAATATTGTTTGGTGTCTTTAGAGTACATATAAAAGTATCATAGTTATTTATCATTCTTCAGCTTGATTTTTAAGGTCAACATGGTGTTTCTGAAGATCTCATCGTGTCAGGACATACTGATTAAATTTATTCACTCTGATTGCTACAGAGTGTCTCATCCACGAGTGAGAGTTTGCCCTTCATTCATATGCTTCCTAATATTTGTTGTTATCAAATTTTTAAAGTGATGAATAGAATTTATAGAATTCTATATATATCCTAGATTCATATGTATTATTTGCCTGTTATATATACTGCAAATATGTTTCCAAGCCTATTACTTGTCTTTTTAAGCCCATTTATTTATATGTACCCACATAATTGCCCATCTCTTGTCTTTTCATTTGTTTCTGCATGTCAGATCTTCCTTCTGGGATTATTTTCTTCTACCTAAATCATATTCTTTAGAATTTCCTTTATTAGAGAAGAAAATTCTCTTAGTTTTTATTACTCTGTAAATTTATTTATTTCATCATTGATGTTGAAAAATATGTCTGCTGGGTACACAATTCCAGGTTGACAGTTATTTTCTCAGCACATCAAAGCTATCATTGCACTATCCGTCAGCTTCCATTTTGTGGTAAAGAAGGCAGTTCTTAGGCTACTCATCTGTCTTTTGAAAGTCTTTATCTCAAGCTAACTTTAAGATCTTCTTTTATCCTTTGGTGTTCCATAGTTTTACTTTGATATATATAGATGTATGTTGCTTTTTATTTGCTCCATTAGGAATCCACAGGGCTATTTTGATTTGTGGATTGGTGTCTCTCTATAAAAAATTCTTAGCCATCATTCTTCAGATATTGCCTCTGTCCTGTTCCTGCTCCTTCCTTTCTGAAATACTGATATAGTATATATTAGGCCTTTTCTATCTTTCATGTCTCTTAATACTTTTAATAACCTTGTTTCTCTGTGCTATAATCTGGATACTTTGTTCAAATCTGTCTTTAAAATTTTACCAGTTTTTTAATCTACTGAGTTATTTTTTGTAAAGCTTTATTAAAGTATAATTAAATTTTAATTAATTGCACATATTTAAAACATACAATTAAATAAATTTTGACATATGTATATACCTGTGAAACAATATAACCAGGATCATGAGCGTATCTGTCAAGTCCAAAAGTTTCCTCCTGTCTCTTTGTAATTCCTCCTTTCTGCCCATCCTGAAGTCCTTCCATCCCCAGGTAACCACTGATGTGCTTTCTGTCACATAGGGATAGTTTGCTTTTTCTAGAATTTTGT